TAATATCAAAAATTAGCGTTTTTTAAATTTGTAATTTTTTGGGGGATTTCCCCCGTTTACGGGGAATGAGGGAATTTTTTCAATTTTTGAGGGTAATGTCTTCAACTAGATATAATTTGTGATCTTTGACATATTGTTCATCAAAATCGGTCCAGCGAGAGCTGAGATTGAGCGTTCACAGACCCAAAAAAAAAAAATAAAAAAATAAAAAAAAACACATCATAGTAAAGTTAATACCTTCTCATCTTCGCATCGAAGCTAAAAACTCATCACAGTGGTGACGTGACATAGTTGGATCATGTATAATGATATCTGACAGTGATTAAAATCACTATCAAATATAAACGCTTCGATGCAAACTTATATAGTTAAAATATATATAACTATATAGATAGTGTTTAATTNTATAGTTAAAATATATATAACTATATAGATAGTGTTTAATTAAAAAAAAAACCCAGCACAGGGGGATCGCGGCACAGTGGTGACGTGGCATAGATGGATCAAGTATAATGATATCTGACAGTGATTAAAATCACTATCATAAAAAACGCTTCGATGCAAATCTTTAGATACTTTTTAATTTTAAAAAATTGGTGAACTATTCCAAAAGCTACATGATCTGCTAGTTCCTTATTAATATCCTGATTAATACAAAGTATGTCGAATAAAAAAAGAGATTATTAGAAAATAGTATTTCCCATAAAAAAATTATATTGATTAATACACTTTTCAATAAGTTATAGCTTATAAGTTAAAAATGTAAAAAATAAAATTGAGAATTTTCACACAATAATAGCATTTGGTAGCCAATTTCACTATGAAGACAAAATAAAGTCCGAAATTTTTTTTACATAATAAAGTAGATTACATTAGCTTTAATTTAATATATATAGAAAAGTGTCAGACTTTCCGGAACACTTTCAAAATTTAAGTTGAAAAAGTTCTACTTTCTACATGCATTTTTTAGATTTGAACCCCTCTCGTATATAGGGAAATGGTCCGATTTAAAAAAACAGTGTGTCGAATAAAAGATGTACATAAATACTACTTCTCATGAAAAAATTGTATTGATCCATACATTTTTCAAAAAGTTATACTATAATAAAGTTAAAAATGTAAAATACAAAATCGAAAATTTTCACACAAAAAAAACATTCGGTAGCCATTTTCACCGTGAAGATAAAATAAAGTCCGAAATTCTTTTTTTCTATGATAAAGTATTTTACATTAGCTTTAATTTAAAATATATATAAAAGTGTCAAACATTCCGGAAAATTTTCAAAAGTCAAGTTGAAAAAATTAATTTTTTGTGAAAAAGTTGTCATTTTAAATCTCCCCTTGTGGGCAGGTAAAGGATTAAATATAAAAAAAAAATATACCAAATGAAAGGTAATGATATCATGCATCTATATATAAAAGAATTATATAGATATGTTCATTTTTGAAAAAGTTATGGCACTTTTAAGTAAAAAAAGTTGAAAAAATTAGCGATTTTTAAATTTGTAATTTTTTTGGAGGTTTCCCCCATTTTTTTCAATTTTTGAGGGTAATGTCTTCGACTAGATACGATTTGTGATCTTTTGATGTATCATTGAAAGAAATCGGTTCGATAAGAGCTGAGAAAAAGTAGTAACAGACACAAAAAAAAAAAAATAAACACATCTTAATAAAACCAATTCCTTCTCAGCTTCGCATTGAAGATAATATTGTTAAATTAACGAAAAATTCGTTTAAAATAATAAATGAGCACTGTAAACTTGAGAAATTATACTATACAATTTAAACAAAAGTTATTAGTTGACTTTTAAATTTACATTAAATTATAAAAAATACAATATACTTGAAGATGATAAAAGAAAAACTATACAAATACTCGATTTTTAAAAAAAATTTAAACCCGATTAGAAAATTATATTGTATCAAATAATCAAATAATATTGATAAAACTAAACTTGTAACCAAATAGTTTTAAAGGAAAAACTATTTAGCAGAAAAACTGTAGATAAAATATTTGCCAGAATCTTTTTTTCAAAAAATTTATAACAACTATATAAAAACAAAGAGCTTTTCTAAATTCAAATAAATGAAACAGTCATACGAAAAGAGATATGTAAATAGATCCTTCATAGATAAAAAAATTTCAATGATTTTTATGGATACAAACTTTTTTAAAAGATTTTTGTATAATTAAATCATAACATGATTAATTAATGAAAATTATATATTGAAAAAATTCATATTAATAAAATGTTTACATTTTAGGATAGCCTATAGTCTTCAAAATAGATTAATATAATTAATTAATTTGTCATTATGCAGGTCTTTCTCCCACGCACACAAAAAGTTATTATTATATAAAATAATTTTAACTAGAGAGGAATTAATTTGGTTTACCCCCAAATTTTTTTTAATTTTAGTTTCACTATTTTGTACACAATGATCAAATTTTGCAAATTTTACTTGTAGTACCCAGACACTAGGAGTACTACCTGATTATATCCCTGAGGGTATAAATTTAAAGCTATGAAAGATGAGAATAATCAACTTTCTTTTCATGCATTAAAGTGTTCAATTTTATAGTTCAATTTTATAGAATGATACTTAGGTATTTTGTTTCGTCCTGAGGAGAGATTATGGTATTGTAAATTTTGACGGGTGGACATATTCCAAGACGAAGAGCGAACGTGACATGATTTGACTTGGCTTCATTTATTTTTATCTTCCAATTTCTAAACCATGACTCTATACAATTCATATGCGCTTAGAGGTAAGCGTCACGTTAGTAAGTGTAAATAAAATGTTAATGTTTTAACAAAAGTCACGTAAAATAATGTTAAATTCCAATGAACGTTTGAGAATGGTCATAACACGAGATTGTCTTACAAAAATGATCAACTCCAGAGGTAGGGGATACTGTTGGTATAAAATTGCTGAGGTTTGCAAAAGTATACATAATAAAACCTAAAAATCATTCTTCCCCAGAGTTAATTTTCGTTGACAATTTGCGGCAAAAATTTTTCCAGAAAGGATAATATGAGAAGACATCAACATCAGACACATCTGAAAAGTTGGTATCATGTATTATAATCATAACATGTTATGATCTAATGTCATATAACTCTATGTTTTTTTTAAATATAAAAACATTATTTAATTATAAATTTAATAAGAGGTTTGATTAAAGACCAACTTGATTATAATCTGCCAATGAAGCACGCGTTATTTCGAATCCCTATTTAAACGTTTCTCTAAATTTTCGAATCGCTTAAGGGCCACGTGACAAGATCACAAAAAACTATGCTTGTCTGGAGACAACGAAAGAATTGGCAACGGTACAGAAAAACGCCCTGACGAAAGCCGTACAGAATTGTTCACGAAGAATTTTTTCACATTTTCCAAAAGTGGTGAAATCGATTGGAGTTGTGTCAGTCTCCTCAGTCAGCCAAAACTTATCCAATATTGTCTCTAAAGAGGTTGTCGTTGATACCACAGTTAAGTACAGCAGTGGGAGCGCCACCAATGAGCACCTATCCGAATATCGAACCGAACGCAGCCGGAGGATCGTCATGTACGACAATACGTTTACCATTCAAAATTAATGAGTATAAATCGACTACCAACAAAAAATCAATCGAACCGGGCGAATCCAATGATGGGTCAACAAGCGCCAAATTGTTATAATTTTTTCTAACATGAGCCGTAATTACATACCATAATAAATTATTTGTAATTTCCATGCTTTGACCGTCAATATGGGGTTCGCTGGAATAACTTGGCTACATCTGACACGTCATAACACCTCGGGTGTTGGGAATCTGAATTCCAGAAACACCCGTAATGGACTGAGTCCATTGAGAGCGAGGAAGGCCGAGGCGATCCGCGAATGCTGTCGTCATGGCACTAATTTGCGATTCGGAATCTAACAATATGGGTGCGGTTTGAAATATGGCAGACCTATGACGAACATAAACTAAGGTTATTGAGGATAATTATAAGGATTCTATAAAGAAAAGAAAATAGTCAGAGAAATGTTTTAAATCAAGTATTCTAAGATAAAGCTTTTTCAATTTACTAAAGCCTGTCTGATTATTTGATTCTAATTTTAAAATTACATCAGCAAAATTAATAATTTCTAATCGCAATCATGATATTTATAATAAATTTTAATTATTTCTTTTTTTTTTTTTGATAGAATTAAAAACAGTTCAAATTGACACCAGAGACTTTTGGATAGGACAAATGGTTATGAGGATATTTAATTTTTAATTTTAATATGGATTTTTTAAATTACAGATTTAATTAAAAGTTAATAAAATTTCTATTATGGATTTTATGTAAAAATTAAAAATAGCTACCATTTTTTTGTAGGTCAGTATTATTGGACAATTTGCGTAAGTCTTTTTTTTTATATTTCATATGGACCTTAATCCAATCAAAAACTAAATATTAAAGTATACAATATACAAATATACAACAGCATACAATAATAATTTAAACATTTTAATTACCTTAAATTACATAGATTATTTTTAAATTCATATACATTTTACAATTAGATCTATATTATATTTATCGGCTAATTTTGACATACAATAAAGGTGACGATAATACAATAATTAGACATCAACGAAATTGTCCCAATTACAAAAAAAGTACAATAAATCGGTGCATTATAGAATGTTTTGTAATGATTTACCATATCATTATTGAACCTAAACTGTTGCGAGCGTGTGTTCTGTAGAGCCGCAAACCAAACGATAATACTTAATTTATAAATAAACTTTTAATTTTGAATTGGGATTAGAAGTTTAAAAAATGTTTTTCGACAAGTATAATTTTATTTTTATGCTGTATAATGATATATGAATATCTAACACAAAAATACATCCATTGACTAAATAAATACGAATAAATAATAATAAAACAAATATGCATCAATAATAATTTTACATATACTATTAATAAATGTAAATACTCTATACATATAAATTAAAAGGAATAATGATATAAGGCTTATAAGAGTAAGTTATTTTTTTTTTTAATTACGATTTTTATGATGTTGCTCACACGATTAATTTTCTTTTTTATGTTAATATGTCTTACTAGTAGCAGATATGGTCGGCATAGAGTAATGCAAGAACCAGAGCCAGAACCAGAACCAGAACCAGAACCAATAGCAAATCCTAACGAAGTTGCTGAATTTAATAGAATTGTTAGTTCTACAGGATGGAAAAATATAGTTGGCTTAAAACTTATAAACATAAAAGGAGAAAAAGTACCAATCGATTTATGGGTCAATACATATTATCCTAACAATAATGTCAATAAAACCGAATTTGAAATGTCAAAGCTATGTGCTTCATTGGTATTAAGAAAAATTTATTCAGATATGCTAAATCCTTTACGTGATTACTATAGAGATATGTCATTAATATGTATGTATAACCGAAATGAGGAATCTAAATTGACGAATTTGAAAAAATTAATCGAAATGTTTTCTATGTTTAAACCACTAATGACTTGTATGATTAATGCATTAAATTATTTTGAATGTAATAATGAGAATCCTGTATTTGATGTTCTCGACAAATCATTATTATTAACTAACGAACTGACTACTAATAACAACTTTCATAATTCAGACAACACTTTAAGTTATGAATTTATATATAGCACACTTGAGAAAATTTATGATTTTGCTAGACAATACGTACTTCATAAAATAGAAAATATTTTTGAAATAAAAGTTGAACCTTTCTTAGAAAACTATATTACTGAATTGAAAATACTAAAAAGAAATTCTTCGCATAATATCCCTATTGACCCACAATTTAACCAAAAAATTAATAAAGGTGTTACCTTATTGTGCAGAAATTTTGGTTTTTAAAATTAGGTAGTATAATACATAATATATTTTTTCTTTATTGTTCTTCCTTACTTTGTAATTTACAAACAACTATCAATTAAAATATTATATTATACATATCATTTTTAATCTAAATAATTTATTATTCACTAAAAAATATATTTAATATAAATAATTTTAAAAATTCAGCCATTTTAGATCATTATTTGTGTTAATTAATGTTACACACAGCCATAGTTGTAAGAAATACTTTTAAAAAGTATTTTAAATAATACTCAAATATTTAAAAAAAAATGTATTTAAAATACTATTTGAATACTTTTCATACAAAAGTATTTGAGTAATACTAAGAATACAATTAAAAAATAATAATAATGTTTTTATTTTAACTAAGAGCATAAGGTTCCACTAAATAATTACCAAGAGAGTAATTTGAGTCAAATATTGAGTACTCTTAAATTAAGAGAACTCATTTATTATTTTCGATATTTTTTGTTAGAGATAAATAAAATTAATTATTGTAGACTAATCAGTGAAAAAAATAAATATTAGTACATGTGTAAAAACCTGTAAAGTATGTCTTATTAACAATAGAGTAAATCATTTGAACCTGCAATAGGCTATTGTAGGTTCAACTGATGTATTAAAAATAGATGTATACATAATAGCATTTAGATAAGCACAATAATTATGTTATACTATAATGTAACATATAAAATAACAGAGAATTATTCTCAATTTTCATTTTGACTGAGTTTAATTTGCTTGCTGTGTTACGGTTAGCAAATTAGAAAAAAAAAGTATATTAATAGTACTGAATATTAAACAGTATTAAATACTAAATAATTGTATTTAAAATACTACTCAGATACTTTTTATTAAATGTATTTAAAAATACTATTCAATACCAATGAAAGTATTTGAATACTTTTATTCAAATACATTTACTCAAATGCTTTACGCCTTTGCACACAGCGTAATTTTATTCATTATTTTTATAACTATTATAACTTTTCCTTTTTTTAATATTGTTAATAATTATTAATTTTTTTTGACCATTACATATTTTGTTCAAATTTTAATCAAACCTCAGTCTTTTGTAAATTATCTTTATACAAATCATAAAATATGTTACAGGAAATTATTAAACTGTGTTTCACGCAAATCTGTAAAAATATACAACATTATATGATTTTTTCATTATAGAAGTTTATTATTTCTAATGTTTTATAATATTAAAAAAAAAAAACCTATCACTTTCTTACTTCCTGAAAATTTTATCAACTAACATTTCAAATAAAAAACATAATAAAAACATAATTGAATTATTCATGTGTTATTAATTTTTAATATTCAAAAATAACTAAAAAAACCTAGCACATTGGTGACGTGCATGGTTGGATGAAGTATAATGATATCCGACAGTGATTAAAATCATTATAAGAAAAAACGCTTCGATGCAAACTTTAGATAGTGTTTAATTTTAAAAAATTGGTGAATTATACTAGAGCTACATGATCTGCTATGTTTTTATTAATATACTGATTAAGATAAAGTATGTCGAATGAAAAAGGGATTATTAAAACATATTATTACTCATAAAAAAATAATGTTGATCCATACACTTGTCAATATGTCATAGCATTATAAAGTTAAAAATGTAAAAAATAAATAAATAAAAAAAAAATAAAATAAACACATCTTAGTAAAACCAATACCTTCTCAGCTTCGCATCGAAGCTAAAATTGGTGAATTATACTAGAGCTATATGATCTGCTATGTTCTTATTAATATCCTGATTAAGATAAAATATGTCGAATGAAAAAGGGATATAAATATTATTTCTTATAAAAAAATTGTGTTGATCCATACACTTTTCAATAAGTTATAGCATTATAATGTAAAAAATAACTGACGAACTGACTACTAATAACAACTGTCATAATTCAGACAACACTCTAAATTATGAATTTATAAATAGCACACTTCAGAAAATTTATGACTTTGCTACAAAATACGTATATCTTAAACTAGTAAACATTTTTGAATTAAAAGTTGAATCTTTCTAAAATAACTATATTACTCAATTGAAAATACTATAATAAAATTCTTCGCATGATAATCCTATTGACCCACAATTTAACAAAAAAATTGATGAAGATGTTATCTTATTGTGCAAAAATTAGGTAGTATAATACATAATATATTTTTTTCTTTATTGTCTTTCCTTACTTTGTAATTTACAAACAACTATCATTTACATACATATACTTTTTAATCTAAATAATTTATTATAAATTATTCACTAAAAAATATATTTAGATTCTTTTTTTTAAATCAAGTTTAAAATTCAACCATTTTAGATCATTATTTTTGTTAATTATTGTTACACACAGGATAATTTTATTCAATATTTTTATTACTATTATAACTTTTCCTTTTTTTAATATTTTTATTAATTATTAATTATTTTAGACCACTACATATTTTGTTGAAATTATTTTTTTTTTATCAAGTCTCAGTCTTTTGTAAATTATTTTTTTCATAAAATATGTATATAATTTTTTTTACAGGCAATTATTAAACTGTGATTCACGCAAATCTGTAAAAATATACAACATTATATGATTTTTTCATTATAGAAGTTTATTATTTCTAATGTTTTATAATATTAAAAAAAAAACATTCTATCCCTTTCTTACTTCCTTAAAATTTTATCAACTAATATTTTTAAATAAAAAACTTAATAAAATGATTTCGGAATTGAATTATTCATGTGTTATTAATTTTTATTCAAAAATAACTAAAAAAACGGTAGCACAGTGGAGTCGAGGCACAGTGTAGACGAGGCATATGTGGGACAAGTATAGATGATATCTGTCAGTGATTAAAATCACTATCATAAGAAACGCCTTGATGCAAATCTATAGATAGTGTTTCATTTAGGTAAATTGGTGGATTATTCCAAAAGCAACATCAACTCTTATTGCTTTGCTTATATCCTGATTAGTAGTTCTTTGATTTTAAAATATAATATACGAATAAATACTAATTATAATTATTAAATTTAGTATGAAATTGATATTCAATAATTTAATATTGTAATTTAAACGGAGAAATTATAAAAATATTTAAGTAGTTATATTTTGCTTTACTTTAACGTGAATAAAAATTTATTATTATTATTATTATATGTAATTATAAAATAATAATTAAAAGAAAAAAAAATTTGTTTTCAAATTATTACTGATTTGATTTTTAATATGTTAAAAATAATCAGTCAAAATTTTTATTTTTAACCTATTTTTTTGGTTGGGTTGATGAAAAATTTTTGATAAAGTTTTGTGAAAATTTATAATAAAAAAAAACCCAGCACAGGGGGGTCGCGGCACAGTGGTGACGTGGCATAGTTGGATCAAGTATAATGATATCTGACAGTGATTAAAATCACTATAAAAAAAAAACCCTTCGATGCAAATCTTTAGATAGTGTTTAATTTTAAAAAATT